TTTTAATAGGAAAAAATATCCTCTTTGAAATCATGTTCTAAGAATTGTTGCATCCCTAAGTCTAAAAGTGCTGAAATTTGGCTTTTTTGCGACTAAGGTTTTTCAATGAATTTAGCAGTTGTGACAAAATCTTTTTTTTACCAAAAACCTAGCCGTTAATCGAAGTGTATAAGTTGCTATTCAAATCTCGAAAAAGTTCACTTTCATTTATTTGTAGCTAATATCCACGTTGTTGCCAATTGTGCACAAACATCATTACATATATTCAAAGGGTTAGCGTTCGCAATTTTAGATTGATGGATTGTTAAATAATGAATAGTACAACACTAGTGATTACTTAATCAAATCGTTTATTTCTCTTATACTTAATAAAGATGATCATTGAGTGTTATCAGATAACATTCACAAACAGGTTGTGTTTGCATTAAACAATCTTTCTTTTTCGTAATCATACAGATGAATTTTGCTTGATAGTGAGTTCAAATTCTACTAGATTTCTGAAAGAATGTGAATTAGTTATAACTAAAAATTGAATTTTCAATTATCTTGTATTCGCATATGTTAAACTTGTTTTTTTTCTTTTTTTTAGTAAATATTCTCTAAAAGCTATTTCTGATTATTTAGGTGGTATACATAATGATCTTCGATCACAAGCATGGAAATATCTATTTGGTTTTTATCCACCTCTTCTCTCAAAAGCGTAAGATGAATATTTTCTATACTCATTGATTACTTTTGTATCATATGTTAGAGAACAAGAAACAATTGATATTGAACGTAAACTACGATATGATTTTATGTGTGAAAGATGTCAACAAGAAATGCCACAAGAACGTAAATACTATTCTTATTTTATGTATGTTTTTTTTTGTTTTCTATTTTACATGAAGTTTAGTTTGTTCACAATTACCGCATTTATCATCAAACAAATTAAAAGAATTACTTAGTTCAAATCAAATTTTCTTTTCTATTCAACAACGTATTGAAGCATATAAACCAAAATTTAATTGGTATGATATGGATTATCATGTACGACTTATTGCTAAAGATTTACATCGAACTGATTTTATATCATCAGAAAAAAAACCAGTTGATTATAATTATGGACCACTTACACGTTTACTTGTAACATTTGCATGTTATAATCCAACAATTGGTTATTCACAAGGTATTCATATTTATCGAAATAAAATACTTTGAATATTATTTATGTATCATAGGAATGAATGATATGGCTCTTAGTTTTCTTCATGTATTTTCTTATAGTGAACATGAAGCTTATTTTTGCTTTGCTTCTTATATAATTCAATCCGGTGAACATTTTACAAAATTAGGTATAGCAACTAAAATAAAACAATTACCAAAACTTGTTGAAATTGTTGATCAATTATTATATGATCGAATTGTATCACTTGATGTTGAATTATGGACATTTTGTCATCGTATGTTTTATTGATTTTTCGTTTTTTCACTATTAAATAATATTTTATGTTTACTTAATAATAGGATGGTTATTTTTATGTTTTCGTCGTGAATTTGCTAAAGAAGAAGATACATTAATATGTTTTGAAGTTGTATCTAGTCATTTTCTTGAAGAAAATTCTTTAGCTGGTGAACGTTTATTATATGATATACAATTAAAACAAGCAGAACAAATAGGTATTAGTAGTTATTCATCAATATCAACAGAATTAAATTCTAAACATAATGAAGACTATCGATATTCATTTGATTTATTTGTTTGTATTGCAATGATATCATTATTTCGTTCATGTTTATTTGATGCTCATGATGAACTTGAAGCACTTGAAGCAATTCAACAACGACAAAAAACACTTGATGTTCGACAAGTTTTATCATTAGCTGAACAACTTTTTAAAATATATTATCAACAAATAACAGCAATGTCATCTACATCATCGATGGAATCAGCATCATTTGAAATTATTTAGTCATATATATATTGAAACATAGTTTCTATTTTATTTATTTATTTATTTTTAATAACCAAATCGATTTCCAATTTTTTAATGTCAGAATAAAAATATATTTATATGCTATAATTGAAACGTTCTGCATATATGAGTATACTCAATCGTAATAAGTCTATTGAATATGAAATAAAAGTTTTGTAATAATTTTTGCTTTACATGTAAGGTGTCGAAAATTCAAAATTAAAGTCGAAGCTTTTTTCTTCGTATATGGTTATACAGAACATGACGAGCTGATCAAGAATATGTGTGCTTTCAGTTTTTTTTTACAGATAACCTATTTTTTTCTGAAAAACATGTTGATATTTTTCTATAGCTGACAAATTTTCAATTTTTTCATTTTCTTTAAGTTTCAGAACTGGATTTTTTTTTCAGATTTAGTGTTAAAAACTGAAGGAAACTCAGTTTTGAAACTTAAAGAAAATGAAAAAAATTGAAAATTTGTCAGTTATCGAAAATGAACATTTTTTTTTTCAGGAAAAGTAGATTATCTGAAAAAAACTGAAGACGCACATATTCTTGATCAGCTCGTCACGCTCTTTTTAACCATATACAAAGAAAAAAAAACTTCTGGTTTAATGTTGCATTGTCGGCAGCTTACTACTGTTCAGAAATATGCTAGAAAGTTGATTTTTTTTGTAACAAAAGATCCACCATTTTATATTCTATTAGAATCGCAAAATAAAAAACAAATCTGTCATTAAAAGAAATTTGAAAAACTCAGCAATAACAAGTTTCAAATATAAACTATGAAGGTCATTATTCTCGAGAATACATGAAATAAAGAATAAGTGAGTTTGATAATACAATAAAAAAACAAAAAAATATTTATCAAACTGGTGACATTGAATCAATAATGCCGCATTAAGTTACATTGATACCTTCGTCTCATTATTAAGTCAATATCTCAACAAATATTTTTTTTGTCCAAGATTCGTTTTAGTACATAAGTTTTTTCCACAACTTCAATCCAATTATGTTCTCAACGTGTATGATTGAGTCATTTGTACAAAAATATTACGACGCTTTTTTTGAATCGCACTACTAGACAACCTCTCTGTCTTAAGATATTGTGACATGATGGGTACACACAATATTTCATGCACTGTTTGCACTCTAATTTGAAATACGTAATAACCATTGTACTTTAGAAGATTTGCTATACGTGCAATTTATTTCACATGTTTTGTTCAATAATATACGAACTCTAATTGATATTGTCTATTTTAAAAATATGCAAATTATCTCAGATTTCATTGAATAAGAAATAGCGTGACGAAAAAAACTATGTTCATCTTTAGTGATTGATTCAAATTTCAAAAAATGGTTATAAATATTTGATTTTGCAATTCGGATAGAGTATACAATGGCGCGTGTTTTGAAAGGAAAAACAAATAATTTAATATCATGCTCTTAAATGAAGACACATGCAAAGTAAAACACGTCACAAAACTTTATCCTATCCAGTATGATGTTCGTCACACATCTTATCTTTCTTTACTTTATAAAAAGAAACAGATTCGATAAACCTATGTCCTTAGAAATAAGCACATTGAAACCTTTCGTTGATACTAAAAGTAATTGAATTTCATTCAAGAGAATCTTTATTTTGTCAATTAAATGCATTGCAAATTTGTTAATTATTATTATTTTTTGTTACTAAAAAATAGAGAATGAAATGTTTAACAAACATCAACTGTTGTTTTGTTTTGAACATTTTCAATAATTTCCGCAACTAAAACTTCATTATGACGATTGAAAAGTTTTGTTGGCATATCATACGTTGCTGAAATAACTTCTTCACGATTAATTGGTAATGTTTTACATAATTCTAATATATTACTACTTTCTCTTTTCCAATCATTCTCTTTAGCAAAACCACCGAACCGTTTTGCATAAAAAATTTGTTCCGATTGATGATAAATAAAAACACCATCAGCAGTTGGTAGTGGTAGTGGATTTATATTATTATCTTTATCAAGTAGTAACATTATTGTAAATTGATTTTCTTCATCAGCTGTTAGCAATGGACGAACTTTAACCATAATCGGCAGACAAATTTTTAAGATTTTACCTAGAAAAAAAAAACAGTTTTTATTTTCAAAATAATATCTAAATATAGCATCTTACCATCGACATTTTCACCTTGTGTATATTTAACAAGCTTCCATAAATTAGACATAACAGGTTCATCACCAGCTTTAGCAGTAAACATATATGCCACACATGTAAATGAATAATAGTATCGTTTCTCGTAAAGCTAATTAATAGAATACAACAAGGTAAGATATTTTTATAAATATACACCTTACCTTATTACTTTCAAGGACGTCATATTTTGGCCATTCGGGATCAGCGAGTATATTTGAATATGCAGATGCAGCTGTGCGTAACCAATTCATTTGTTTGTTTTTGTCACCTTTTGGTTTTACTTCTTGTCTATACTGGTTTTATATGATAGAGTAAAAACAACAACAGCATATTATCAAAGATAAAAAATTTTTTTTTTGTTATGTTGTCACGATAAATCATGGAACAAAATTTTATTTCAACCATCAGTAACAGACACTTGGAAGTAATCTATTCATATTAATGGCTGTTGCGAAAAAAAACAATGAAGAAATGTCGCGAGAACATAGAGTAGAGCAGCAAAAGGTGTATGATTCTTAGTTTTTTTTTTATAAATTACAGGTGCTTATATGGTACAAGATAGAATGGCAAAAAAAAAATCTTCTGAGGTCTTCAACCCATTGACAATAAAACACGAAACAGGACAAAGAATAAACGAGAGAGAAAGAGAGAGAGAGAGAGAGAAAAGAAGATGAACTGTACACACCTACGCACAACTTTTTGTGCCTGATAAAAGTCTCTTTTGTGCTCGTTTAATTTTTCAATAATAATGATAATGAAAGTGAGAAAAAAATCTGGTTTTCTTTTTCAAAAATGTTTCTAGAAAAAAAAAAGAAAGAAGAAAAAAAACACGAACACAAAATAACCTGTAATAAAGAAATGTTGCTAATACATGTATGTGTTTAGAAACAATAATAAAAAGAAAGAAATAAACAAATCGACAATGTTCTACATATACATATATAATCTTTTTCTTTTATTTTTTTTCATCGCAAATATTTGTTCAAGTCAATAAAGGCACAATCTGGTATATTATTTTTGTGCATTAGCTTGTCACATTCATGTAAATAACCAACAAGTACTTCAAGAGCGGGATGTCTTGGCATGTCATGTGCTTCTGTAAAGTATATAGATGACGTTAATATATGTTTATCTAATATATAAAGAATGCTTTTATCTACATACCAAGTATAGCACTATTGACTGCACTAGAAACAGTTTCACGCTGAGAAGGCTCTAATAGATGAGCAAGTGGTGATGATTTTGGATCTGAATAAGCTAATAAACTGAATGCATCCTAATAAAAGAAAAGATTTTTAATTACATTTTTAAATTGAAGTTTTTTTTATTAATCGTTTGTACACAAGTAGGAAATAAAGTATTTTAGTCGTTCTCATAAAATTAACATTAGAGAATGTTATATAACCTATGGTACAAAAGTTTAGTCACAAAATATTTGCTTATTTTTCGGACCGATAAAAGACAATTAGTTAGAGCTAGAATAAGAATTTTTCGCTACGTCTGAATATATGTTCAGATTATAGCTACTTTAGTGCAGTCCTTAGTTTACGTAGTTTGTGTCTCGTAACAACTTCAATATCATCATTACTGAATTTTGTACAAAGTGAGATAGTACAATAAGCAAAATCTTATCTATACGTTGCAAGTAAAAAACTATATTCTATAGAAATCGGCATTGGTAGAAGAAAGAAATCGTTGTTTTTAAAAATTCTTTCGCATTTTGTACCTTTTGTAACAATATGATGATCGCTATCCAATCCATACTTGGGGAATCGGTCGAGTTTTTTTTTAACTCGATTAGTTTCAAATATGATCCAATCTTAACCGAGAAAAAACTTTTGAATACATATTCGGAAAGAACAACAAAGTCTGCTTCTAGATCTAACCAGCTGTCTTTATTTGACTGAAAAAATGAGAAAGATAAGATATGTTCAGTTGATTTCTATCTTGAATATTCATCCTGTATATGTGTTCTTGTCTTTTGTTTTGATAGAATATGAAATAAAAGTTACTTATTGTCTTATGACTACATATCATACGTTTAGTAATTTCTGATTTCGAATGAGACATAAATGATAATTTAAAAAGAAAGAAAGATTATGTTCAATAATATTCTTTCAATAGAATTTTAAGATTGATTTCTTTTCATTTTCTACAAAATTTACTTGAAGCAGTTTATCATTTTGTTGGTTATCACCATGTTCAATAGTTAATTGTTGTTTAAGTGCATGTAATTCTCGACCAAATTGAAGAATTCTTACAAGAAGTTGGTCATCTTCTTTTGTTGTTGATTTTTTCTGTACATCAGATGATATTGTTGTTTCCATATCCATTGTATGAATTGAATCAGTATAACCATCATATTCCATACCATCAAGGATATCGGTTGATTTCGTTGAACATCCATTACTATTCATATTATTGTCGACGACTAGATTATTGTTATCATCGTCTAATAGTGAATGGCCATTAGAGATTTGATTTGTCGAAGAAGACGAAGAAGAAGAAGAAGGATGAGGATGAGATACTGTTCCGTGATTGCTAAAACCATTTGCTGTATTATTATCTTGGTGATTATCATCAATATCCATAAGATTAACAACAACATTAGTATTTGTATTCGATGGTACGGAATTCACTGTTGTTGTATGACTATTTGATTCCGACGATTGACATGGAATTTCTGATAAACTGGATTCATTATTAGTTTCTATAGAGAAGAAAGAAAATTAATTTCATAAGAAAATGATGAAAATCAATTTACCTTGTGATAACTCATTAAGATTATTTGCACTTGATCGACGAGATGAAGAACTGATTGTACCATTGCTATGTTGTTGTGCCCCTGATATAGTAGTCGTTTGTGTACGTCCTGATGTATATGGACTATTAGAACGAGAACGTAAAGATGTATTTGTTTTTGTTATCGGTGATGATGAACGTGGACTAGTTGTTGAATGAGAATAATTTTTATTAGTTAATGACGACGAACAAGAAGGACTGTTCGAACGATTTTTATTATTAATAAGATGATTAGTTGGTGATGGACAATTTGTTGTTGTTGTAGTTTGTGAAAATGTGGACGGTGGACATGATATTGATGTTTTACGAATTTCACTTTCAGTTCCATTAACCATTTCAATAAACTGACGAACTTTAAGCACAAATAAAAGATTTTTATCATTGAGCAATGTAGGAAAAAGTTCTCTTGTCTTGTCAATTGCATCGGTTGTGCGACCATCAAGAATTAAATGTTGGATAACTAAAAAAATACATAATTTAGATATGAAAAATTTTTATTAATTTTTACAAGTCAATTGAATTCGTTAGTTATAATTCAAAAGATTCTATTCTGTTACAAACTTATCAACAAAGTTGCTAATGACATTGTTTTATTCTATATACTTTTGCAGCACATTTCTTCACTATACTTTTATTGAATCCTTCAGAAATACAATAAGAAAATAGTTCATATATTATAATAAGACATTATTGTTAAACGGTCTATGATTATATATCAATCATGTACGTCATTATGGTCTCTGATGACTCATTGCTTAAATGTCTGTCACGCTTGTCGAGTATGAGACAAATTTCTCTCTTTCTACATTTCAATATTCTTTATAGGTCGTATTTCATACAATTATTTTTTTTTATTCTTTCATTATATTTACGTTGTCTATTGCGCATGGAGTTTAGTTCATCAGCATATACACTTTCGGCATTTTTATTAAATTGTTCAGCTGTAGCACAATATCCATAATGAACGAGATAAGTTGAAACAATACGACGTAATTGTGTTTGATGTAATAATTCGCCTTCTTTCAATGTACATTCAATTATTGCTCGACGAGTTTTTTCACGATATTCCTATTTCAATATAAATAAAATTATTATTCTTTTTCTTAAATAATTTTTAGTTTTACTTACATCCATGTATTTTTCTATATCGAATTTAAAAGGATTAAGACCAAAATTAGCTTCAATTGCTTCATGAGGTGTTTGTAAACCGACTGTTGGATAAATTTCCGTCTATAATATAAAACAAAAGTTTAATAAACTTAATAAAACAACAAAAAACAAATAAAGGAATACCGGTATATCTTTGAAAGATGTACCTAGAACAAAAGATAAATATATGAATTTAATATTTTTTAAGAAAAACATATTTACCAAGATTGTAACCATTACGAGTATAGAAACAAGAATTTTCAAGAAAATTGACACAACAACCAACATAATCACCTGTTGTAAATGTTGGTCCATAGACAATACCTGAACCTGATGAACAAAATGAATGACCATCATCACCGTGATAACCATATGAGCCTTTATCCCATCCAGGTAAACGACTAAGATTTACTTCACCTGTCGATAGACCAATTCCCATGTATCTAATTATAGAAAAAAAAAGAGATAAGACAGATAGAGATACTGATTATTTTTTCATGATCTATAAATAAAATGAAATGAACTAAGTAAAAATTTCACTTCTCATAATATTGTCTCTTAACCTTGCGAGAAATGGTACATCATATTTTATCCAGAACAAGAAAATAAACTCGTCAAAAAAAAAAAAAGGAAAACTTTATATAAAATCGATGAGCAATCAAATTTGAGATTTCAATCATTGTCAAAAATCATAAAAATAATAATAAATGTCTTTCTCACAAAAGTATAGTTTCGGATCAACTACTTTCTTGAAAGAATATGGTTGCCCTTAGAATATTCAGAATCGTTACCATAAATCATAACTCTGATGTAAATATTGGTCTTGACCAATAATTAAATATTGATAAACTTGTTAAGATTAAATATATTACAAAAAAAAAAGAATTCTCAATGCGTGCACTTTTTGTTTTTGTTAATAAACAAGAAAACATCATAGAGAAGAAAGATAAGTTAAACTTACCCATCACGGCCTTTGCTTAAAATTTTCACTTCAAAATAATAAATACCGGTCAATGGTGGAATAGGATGATCCGAACGAACACTAGCTGCATCTTTATGTGTTTTACCAGGTCCTCAAAAAAATATAATTCAATATTACTTAATTTCTATAGATGATATTTCATCATCTAATTTACCTTTATATGTTACAACAAGATCATTTTGTTGAAGAATTAAAGTTGATGCTTTATCTTTTCCATTCCATTTTGTTGGTAAATGTATATCATCACCAACATGTGGATAAAGTTGTGCAAGACGTTCATATCCATTTTTCGTATTTGTAGTTCTTGGATTTGTTGTTGTTGTCGTTGTTGTTGATCTTGTTGCCATTCTTGATGATGTTATTGTTTCATTTGTATTATCTGTCATTTTTTGAATTTGTCGTGATAATTGTCTTCGTCGATGATGTTGAAGAAAAAGTTTGATAAATGTAAAAAGAAGATAAATTATATTTGAAAGAATAATCAAACAACATGAAATATATGCGTAATTAATCGAACAACTTTCGTCCATTCCATTGTTGAAAATAGTTAGATTGAATGATAGTATTAATAGCTAAATGAACAAATAATATATAAACAATAAATAATAACAACAACACAAATCAGCTGACGACTTGTATATCGCGTCTATGCAGTCACGAACCAAGATGGCGTACGAATCGCTTTCATAGTTTTTCTTATTTTTTTGTTTTTCTGTTATTTATGTTGAATATATTTATTAAAAAAAGTTTTTGTCATCTACGATTTATATCAACAATTGATTTAACACTTAATGTAGTTATTAATAAACCAATTGAATGGAATTATTTAATAAAATGGCTTGAAAATGGACAAGAATATCCACTTTGGCGTGATGAACAACAAACTCAACGTTATATTGAACATCAAATATTAATTTCGAGAGAATATGGATCAATGAATGATTTTATTCGTATAAATTATCTTAAATGGGATGTAGATTTGGATAAATCTAGTCAACGACGTATTGCTATTCCCGGTGTAGAATCAATAAAAGAACCCCTTTTAACACCTAATGAATTTCCATATAATTTAGCTAATGGTATTCAACATTGGCTTATATGGTGTGATCCAAAACCAACGGAGCCAGAGAAAATAATTGAAGAAGTTATAAATAAAGAATTTCATTCGGAACAATTTGAAAAACTTTATTTTGTTAATCCACCACGTTTAAGATCTGTTTCTGGCGTGTTTCATGCACACGTGTTTACAAGGGAAATAAAAAGATAATCTCCTCGATATTTAGTTTTTGTATATTTCTTTAAATGAAAGGATCACAAATTGATAATAATGATACAAGGTCGAAACGTCTAAAAATGGCAAATTCATCTATAAAAACTAATGATCATTTTGATAACGTGGAACAAATAAATAATATTTGATTGGATTTTCTAAGAAAAAAAATGAAAATATTTGTAATTTCGTTTATCAATAAATTTCTATCATCAATTGATGCTAATAGTAACTATTCTCGATCATTCAATATTTCTAAACAATCTTTAAAAGGTAAATATATGAATTTTAGTAAATAAAAATAAAAAACCAACAAGCTGGAAAACAAAAGACTATGGATGATATGATTCTCTACCTCATTGCCAAAAAATGAGTTCATCGAAACAAACATTTTTGAAAAGAAAGATCGTTGAATACTCCCATCATCGAAATAAAAACAACCAATTTCCTCTCGATAATCTATACTAAGCATGCACCGAGCTGAAACTTCGGATTCGGTCATTCCCGGGTTCAGTTATTCCCGGGTACGGTCGTTCCCGAGTTCGGTCGTTTCCAGGGTTCGACAGGTACTAGGCATGGACTCAATTCAAATCTTTGTGTCAGTTGGACTGAGTCTCACCAGCATTTGGATTTGACTAGTGAATTTCTACCAAAGGTAATCGAGGACGGGAAATTCGAATCTGAACTTAGATTTTCAAAATTTTGAGTTTGATTTTTTCGGCTAAGGAAAAAGTTTTCTTGAGAGAACAAGGAATTTGTACAAGGTTCTACCAAATGTAATTGGGGTTGGGAAACGGAATCTGAAACTAGATTTTCAAAACTTTGGGTTCAATTTCTTACAGAAGGAAGTCTTTTTCTAAAACAATCACGTTTTTCGTACCAAACTTATTCTCTAGTCTCTATCGTGAAAGAATCTACTAGAATCCTCAAGGTCAAGGATCTTGTCAAGTTTTGTTCAGGATCCTATGTCGAATCCTAGTAATTCCTGTTTGCATGATTTCTCAAGGTTAAATAAGATTCTACCAGGATTCAAACTAGATCCTATCTAGGATTCTGACAAGAATAGCAGATAGAATTATGCCAAAATTTTATCAAGTTCTGGTCAGGATCTGTTCTGGGCGCTGACGCGAGAATCCTGTCAAGAATTGTTGCTAAATTAGAGAAGGATCTTAACAAACATACAAAACTAAATTTCGGGTCGGTATCCAAATTAGGATAAGATTAACAAACACTCATACCCACGTCCACACCAAAACGCACACGAAAGATCTGCAATTCGTACCTATCTGATCAAAATTTAGAATTAGAGTACTGCAACCCGGCCGGGTACCCGAAACCGAACCGAACCGGAGCATGGATTCGGGTGTCGGATTAAATAAAAAATTTCGGTTCGGGTCCAAGTGTGAGCCCAAACCCGGATCCGAATCGACAATTAGTAACATCCTAACTTTTCAAAATATTTTTACTATTTCAAACTGGTATTTATTGTTATGGAGATATTGGGATAAGAATTAAAGCCGATTAGATCATCATTTTTACCAAAGAGTGAATCATAGAAATGAGAAAAAGTTTTTGTTCTGTTGTTTTTCAAGATTCAAGGTACCCAAAATTATGTTTTAACTGGCTTTGATTTTAGTTATTATCAGTATGAATACTCTTAAAAAAGAAAAAGAAAATGTTAGGAAAATATTGAATAGCGTATGTTTAACACATGTTGTAAACCTGCATTAGCAACAGCACAGAGATGGAACACTTTTGTTCGGATAAAAGATGATAAAGAAAATATCATTCCATTTGTACAATGTATTGAGTGTTTGTCAATTTTTGCTTATGAATTATCTAAAACTGATTTAAGTACTTATAAAGCACATGCAGAAAGTTGTCTTGATAGTGGTTCTCCTAGTTCAAGCAAAAACCAAGACATGGTCATAATGATGAAGAGAGATAATAATAGTAATATATTAGCTGGTGTGAAGAGTATATTTACTGAAGCATGTGCTAAATTTTGTGCTTACGATTTACGCCCGTACAAATTGAGTTGTGAATCACTCGATTCACTTGCTTTTGTGTAATTTCAGATGAGTGTTTTTGTTGTTTATTTATTAAAGTAGATTGTATATTTTTTATATGAAATAAAGTTTGAAATTAATTGTATGTGAAAATGGTAGCCGGGTGTGTTATACTTATAAACGGCTGCCGAGCAGGTACCGGGTGGAGCTACTCGGGTCCGGTTCGGGTTCGGGTATGGAGTTGTCGGGTCGGTTCGGGCTCGGGTGCAGAAAAAAAGTTCCGGTCCGGTTTTGAATGGAAAAAAGTGCACCCGTGCAGTACTCCATTTGGAATATTCGCTAGCTACACGTTGCTTGCAAGAGTTACGGTTTTCTGAACCGACTTGTGATTTTAAACCAAGTGATAAATTGGCCAAGATTCTGATTGAACCCTGTTTCGAAATCTGTCGAGATATTGAAATTTCGTAGCTACAGACTTTGTTCAGCATTTAAGAGTTTGCTGAACGATTTCTGATTCAAAAATAGTAGCAATCTGCTCAGGATTTCGATTAAATCCTCTTTTAAATTCTTCCAGGATCCTAAAATTCCGTGGCTATACACACTTTCTTCGGGATTTTGTCATTTTCACAGGAAAAAAACAGTGAATCATTGAAGGATCTTGATTGGATATGTTAAGGATTCTGGCATGGAAATGTCAGCGATTCTTACTAGGATTTCTACGAAAATTTTTTTTTGCATAAATATCAACTTTTTCAGAATAAAAAATGTCGAAAAAATCGAGAACCCAGTTTCGAAAAACGAATTGCAGATTCGGATTCCTCGAGCACACTTGACTTTCGTCAACCTCTGTGAAATACCGTTATTTTCTTAAAAAAACTTTCCCTTGACCCCAAAAAATCTAGTTCAAAATTTTGAAAATCCGATTGCAGATTCGAATTTTCCATCCCCGATTACCTTTTGTAGAAATTCATTAGTCAGGTCCAAATGCTAGTGAGACTCAGTTAACTTGAAACAAAGATTTGGATTGAGTCCATGTCTAGTACCTGTCGAACCCTGGGAATGACCGAACTCGGAAATCCTGGTCTGTTTCCGGTTTCGGTGTATGCCTAATCTATACCAGTGGCCTTCGCTTCGGCGACCATTCTTTTCGTTTGCTTTTTGGACACATATAGTATAGAAAGAGTAGCTATTCAACTGTGAAAAAGGGTGTTCTATAAGTAACGACCCCCTTTTTGTTTTCTTTCTCTCTTTGTCGTATTCAACCGTGGACAGACATTCAATATAGATTTTTAAAGAGCATCATCTAAGCTATCGATCAAAAAACAAATTGTTTAAATTTGCATGAACTCTAAGAGAGAACTACATCGATAAAAATTTTGAAAAAATTTTGTCAAATACATTCTTTACTTTTTATCTATAAACGACTATCTTGTCAGTATTTTGTGAATATCTCTCTCTTATTTTCTGATGGTTTGACTTAAATTTTTTTTCAAAAGATAGTTCATGTAATTCTACAAAATCCAATAAGAGGTACCTCTTCAAAATAATAACTGAGAATGGCATGAAACCTATTTCTTTCGGAGATGAGAAATAATTACTGTTGTAGAAAAAAGTCCCTGTGAAAGTGGAGATTTTTGGAGTGTAGCACTTCCGATCAGATATGGTTTTCTAGTTACCATTTTGAAGAGGAACCTTTTATTTGGTTTTGTAGAGAATTACACGGGCTATCTTTTGAAAAAAAATTCAAGCTAAACCATCAGAAAATAAGAGATATTCACAAAATACTGACAAGGTAGTCATTTATAGACAAAAAGTAAAAAATGTATTTGACAAAATTTTTTCAAAATTTTTATCGATGTAGTCCTCTCTTAGAGTTCATACACATTTAAACAGTTTTTTTGATTGATAGCTTAGATGATGCTCTTTAAAAATCTATATTGAGAGAAAGAAAACAAAAAAGGGATCGCTACTTATAGAACATTCTTTATGCCAAAATTGCTTAGTCCCGTGCATTATTTCCATATTTTGATGAAAAACTATTCGAATATTCAGCTGCCAAGATGAGTGCCTCTCAAGGCGCTACTGCTACATTTTTTTTTGAATAACTGTATTTGTAAAATAGAAATATTCTTTGAAAAGCGTTTTTTCATGAAAATATGACTTGCTCTGCGTTCTATTTAATGATGTTATTGTGGGCTTTTTTGAAAGTTTCCCAAACATAAAAAAAAACATGTTCACTTATCGCACGAATTATTTTTGCGTTCAAAACATCCATAGTTTTCAAACATTGACCTATCATTTTACATAGATGCAGTCAACAATGCTGGTTTCTATGATATAAATACTAAAAGACGTAGTGATTCTTTTGATATCTACCAAATCTTATAAAGTTCTTATTTTGATTATTTGTGATCAAAAACAAAATCGTACTAATACTTTTTGCGGCAACTGTTAACAATCAGGAGGCTTTATTATGCGAACGTTTTGAAAACTTCATTTAGACAATAAATAAAAACAGAGCATTTATTTAATTCGATGGCATTCCTCATCGGCACACACAACTGAGTGAACTATCAACTGCATTAAGCGACATGAATATTACTAAAGTGGAACGATGTTGACTGTAGACTAAAATTAAAAGTGTAACTAGAAATAGTAATCGATCTGACTCTTTGAAATTGATCAGTGGGCATTTTACTTCTGAAAAATTCTTGCTAATAAATGATAGTGTTACAGAACTTGGAGTGCCAACAAATGCATCTAACTCTTTCGGTTCAATAACGAATTCGACTTATCTCGTAGGATGTTTTTTTACAAGCTTTAAAACTGTGTAACATTGTTCAACTCGTGATCACTATAATCAATAAACTTTTTACAATGTTCTGATAAATAACTCCAGTGATCGTACGTAAGTAAAGTTAGCACCAGATTCGAGTTTTTACTGTCCGAATTCGCCCCTGGACTTGAGTTGATTATGATTTAACTTGA